TACCTTCCACTGGCAAGGTGAGAACGGGTGCGGTAGTCAACAAAGTATTGAGCTTCTGAAAGCTTTCCTCACACTCATCCGACCATACAAATGGAACATTTTGCTTAGTCAAGTTCGTCAGTTGGGAAGCAATAGAAGAGAATCCCTTGACAAATCGGCGGTAGTAGCTAGCTAACCCAACAAAGCTCCTTATTTCTGACACATTAGTAGGTCTTACCCAATTCTTCACTAACTCAATCTTAGAAGGATCCACCATCACTCCATCCTTAGAAACCACGTGCCCCAAAAAGGACACTGCATCTAGCCAAAACTCACACTTAGAGAACTTGGCATAAAGCTTTTTCTCCCTCAACATTTCCAATACCATCCTCAAATGCTCCTCATGTTCCTCCTTACTTTTAGAGTATATCAGTATGTCATCAATAAATACGATCACAAAGAGATCTAAATATGGCTTAAAATTCCCGTTCATCAAGCTCATGAATGCAGCAGGGGCATTCGTAAGACCAAAAGACATTACTACAAATTCGTAATGCCCATACCTCGTTCGAAAAACAGTCTTTGGCACATCCGTTGCCCGTATTTTCAATTGATGATAACCGGATCTCAAGTCAATCTTAGAGAAGACACAAGCACCTTGTAACTGATCGAACAAGTCATCAATGCGAGGAAGAGGATACTTGTTCTTTATGGTTACCTTGTTCAACTGCCGGTAGTCTATGCACATCCGAAAACTCCCATCCTTCTTCTTTACAAACAAAACTGGAGCACCCCAAGGAGATGCACTTGGTCTAATGAAGCATTTCCTCAACAACTCTTGAAGTTGTGCTTTTAACTCTCTTAACTCCGCGGGAGCCATTCTATAAGGGGGTATAGAAATGGGGCGAGTACCCGGTTCAAGATCAATGCAGAAGTCAATATCTCTATCCGGTGGCATGCCAGGAAGGTCTGCATGAAACACATCTAGAAACTCACGGACCACCGAAACCGACTCAATCGAGGGTACTTGGGTAGTGTCATCCTTGAGATGTGCCAAGAAAGCTAAACACCCTTTACTAACCATTTTCTTAGCACGAAGAAAGGAGATGATACGCACCGGATTGGAAGTGTAGTCACCCTCCCACACTAACAGATCTGTCCCAGGCTTGGCTAACGTCACGGTTTTAGCATTACAATCCAAGATTGCAAAATTTGGAGAAAGTCAAGTCATACCCAGAATTACATCGAAGTCAACCATTTCTTGAAAGGATTTTGCCGTAGCCGCTACCTGTAAGGCTGAAATCCGCAACTCTGACCTCAACCCTTTCACAAAACGACGAATCCGCTCTTGTGGACTGAAACAAAGTTGAGTGGCATATCTGGATAGTGCACGAAACTTAGCCTCATATGCATTGACCGACATCCTACCTTGCTCTAGGCTCAAGAACTCATCCCTTTTCCTATCCCTCAAAGTCCGGGGGATATACTTCTCCATAAACAAGCTAGAGAATGAGGCCCAAGTCATAGGTGGTGCCTCCGTTGGTTGACACTCAACATGTGACCGCCACCACATTTTGGCATTCCCTTGAAACTGATAACTCACGAACTCAACACCAAACCGTTCTACTATACCCATCTTGTGTAGTAGCTCATGACAGTCAACCAGAAAATCGTAAGCATCCTCAGATTCAGCACCCTTGAAGACTGGAGGTTTCAATTTCAAGAACTTACTGAAAAGTTCATGCTGATCACTTGTCATTATGGGCCCAGTAGTCAGACGTGGAAACGTGCCTATGTCCAATGAGACATCCATACGAGGAGCCATAGTGGCTGCATATTGTACCTCTGAAACCGGAGGTGTTGGTACAGAAAACACTGGAGGGGCCTGACCCTGATCAGACAACCCACTAAGATAAGTGAGAACCTGATTGATCATCTCTGGGGTAGGTTGGGGTGGAAATTCCTCATTTTGCACTTGTTCATTCTCCCCTTCCTCACCCTCTCTTACCACTTCCTCAGTCGGTGGAGGAGTCACCGCCCTAGTATCAGCGGGCTAGGTGCTCGTCCTCTTCCTCTAGAGGACGTCCTCCCACGACCTCTACCACGGCCTCTTGCTGGTACTCTTCCTCGAGCTACAGCCCCAGTGGCTGGCTCAGACGCTTCTTGTCTTGCCGATGTTGGTGTTGGCGCAGTCGTTGCTCTAGTTCTAACCATCCGCGAAATAGAGTGAAGATGGTCAGATACCAATTTGTATCACCTAGATATCAATTGGATCCAAGTAATAGCACGAAAGAAAGAAAGAATGGAATTTTCCTAAAGTCTTGTAGCCTCTCAAAGAAAAGTAAAGGCGTCCCCCTACCGTTCCTTAAGACTCTACTAGACTCGTTCTTGTGTGATGAGACCAACGAACCTAATGCTCTGATACCAAGTTTGTCAAGACCCAAATCCGGACCGCGACTGGCACCCACACTTACCCTCCTATGTGAGCGAACCAACCAATCTAAACCTTAACATTTCAATATAATATCAACAGAAGTAATGCGGAAGACTTAAACTCATTAATAAAATCAATAACTATTATTATCCCCAAAATCTGGAAGTCATCACCACAAGAACATCTATGATCAAATTACTAAACTAAGAGTATTCTAAGAAGCTAAAACAAATAAAAGCTAGTCCATGCCGGAACTTCAAGGTATCAAGACATGAGGAAGAAGATCCAGTCCAAGCTAGAAGCTTTAGCTCACCCTGAAGATCCGGTGTGACGAAGACTGGCTAGAATTACTGTTGAGTTGAAGACGACGGCACGTTTGCTGCACTCCACAAATAACAAGAAGAAAACATAAAAGTAGAGGGTCAGTACAAACACGGGTACTGAGTAGGTATCATCGGCCAACTCAAAATAGAAAACAATATATATTAAGCAATATCATAAAATCAACTAATATCCTTAGCATACAGCATTTACAGTTACCATAACCCTTGGTTACAACACCGAGCACATCAATGAGGACTCACGCCTCCTCATCATACTCATTTGGGAATTCGGTTCATTAAATTGAATATATTAACATCTTTCAAGATTCCTTATCTTTATTCCCCTCGTGTCGGTACGTGACACTCCGCTCCTCAATATACTATCCTGGTGTCGGAACGTGACACCCGATCCCCTAATCTCACTACTTTCATTCATCAAGCCTTCTTTTATACCAAGGCATCATCATTAACAAAGTAGATTAGAGTTTCTTTTCAAGATTTGGGATTCAATAGCTTCATCATGCTTATTTATTCATAATTACATAATCACATCATTCATGCAAGCATACAATTAAGCATATAGAAGGTTCACAATACTACTAACACATATCATTCGCTATTAAGAGTTTACTACGAATAGCATGAAAATCATAACCTACCTCCACCGAAGATTCGTGATCAAGCAAGTGATTTCCCAAGCTTTGTGTTTTTTCCTCTCGTTCGATCCTCTTTCTCGTTCGACTTTCTCTCTCTTTCTCTTGTTCTTTCTGTTTTCTTTATTCAAACCCTCTTTCTTTTACCCTAATTAGTATATAATTAAGAATAAAAGATGACAATAATAACCCACTAATTAACTTAAGGTTACCTCTTTTAACCCCCAAGTAATTAGACTTATTAACATTAACCCTCTAACTTTATAATTAAAGTAGGAATAGTCCAAAACGTCCCTTAAAACGTGTAAAGAAATTCGACCCAGACTGGGATTTCGCAGTCTGTGACGGTCCGTCGCGCCTGCGACGGTCCGTCCTGCTGCCCGTCACAGAGTTCAGAGACTCAATTTCTCTGAAGAGTCTGTGACGGTCCGTCCTGCCATTCCGTCACAAAGTTCAGAGAGTCGATTTCAGTATCCAATTTCAGATTTTCTAAGTGTTTTGAAACGAGACCCTGCGACGGTCTGTCGTGCCCATGACGGTCCGTCGTGGGGTCCGTCGCCTCAGCCTGTTTTTCCAGAAATAAAATCTTCTGCTCAAAACGACTAAATAGGTCGTTACACATAATAAAAGGGTGTGAAGATAACCAGGCCACCACTTTTACCAGATATGGTTCCTGACGATCCAAGAGGAACCCAACCAAACTATATTTTAATCCCAGTGCCCCAACTACTGCTACAAGTGTTGAAAGAAACAACATGATTATTAACAAGTCGTCTTCGTTCATCGAGGTCGACGAATAAAAGCTACGAAGATTGTGATTTTGATTGACAAGTCGTTTGTTTGGAATAGCTGGGTTCAAGAGGGTTTATTTAAAAAATTGTGAATCAAACATGTTTTAATATTATATAGACAGATATCTAGGTGTCGATTGGTCCAACTACTTTTTTTTTAATTTCAAATAATACAATTCAAGAAACAATATATACTAATAAAGTTGTTTTTGGGTCTTTCGATCTTTTACTTGGTTGCTACTAATTTTTGTGGGGGTGGAGTGCCAAGCGATGTTCCTTTTTGTGGGATCCTCTATTTTTCTTCATCTTTTTGGTATATATATTTTGTGTTGTGGAAAGCTCTCTACGGTCCCACGTCGAGAAAAAACAACATTGGTGTAAACTAACTCCCCTACTATCGGTAGATAATCCGAAATGAGCTGGTGAATCTCGACGTTGTTGGGAACTAACAAGTGGTGCCAGGGATCTTCCTTCGACTTTGATTCATATACAATCAAATGTTTTTTTAAATTATAAACCTAATCAAATGTTTTTGAAAATTATAAACCTAATCAAATGTTTTATGACATATTCGGAGAAGCATGCTTATTATATATAAGGTGTTTGATGGAGCCCGATAGACACTCCTATTATAAGGTGGAAAATGATCCTTTGTATTGGCATGTACAATAACTTTTTTTGAAAATATAAACGTAACCCAATATTTTTATGAGATATCATTTTAATGTGGAAGATACTATTTTCTGACTCCATATTCTCAAAAGCAGTCTTCACAGCAACACCAACGTTACCTCAAGTCTTCCTCCACGAATCTCATAGCTTAAAGGAAAAACATTTGATAATAGGTGGACACACTTGTAGCAGTCAACAAGTGACAATCACTGGTCATATGTAACAGATATACATCCTCAAGTTTTACTTAAAACAGTTCAAGAAGCAAGCATGGCGATTAAACTAGAACAAGTTTCTAAAACGGGCAGCTAGCTAGCTAGTATCCAAAGCTCCATCCTTAAATGTTACAACAACTCAAAAGATAAACTATAGTAAACACTGCGCTAAAAGCCAGTTCCTTCACATCCAGCAAGTCTGCATACATAATGCTTTATTTTGGCTACAATCTCCCCTTTGTTTCTGTAGAAGTCTCATTCCGATAGCCCCTGGCATATAAAATCCTCAAATGATGAACATGGAGATAGGTCTAATGATGACATGAACGCTACAACCACACAATGACTATTCAATCATACCGAAGAGCGAGAATACGACTGACTCCTGCTCCTGCTCGGGCTCCTCCTATGCCTCCAACGAGGCGGCTACAAGGCAGCAAAGATTATGAAAGCATAACTCATATACATGACTTAATATTAGCACAGTTGAACTTAAATATCCATAAAGAGGAATTACAAAGCTAGTGCGACTTACAGGTGAAAGTGGAGATCTGGATCTTGATAGAGATCTGCAAAAAACCCCAGAAACAATTATAGTTAGTTAATATCAATAGAATTCTGTGGCCAAAAGGTTCCAGAATGACCTTTCCCGGACAAAGTCCATGCTACTTCCACGTCCATAATCATAGTATTTATCAAACAGCTGCCGCAATCTCTAAATACCAATCACCCGACGAGGTCACATTGAAACATTAAACCATTTGCAACACACTTCCTAGAGGATAGATGTCCAATTTATGGGAGCCATAACAATACAAATGCCTGCTCCAGCCCCACGCTCTAAAAACAAATAATTTTTATGTGTCTATCGGAATGCGTTCCACGGAAGGATTAGCCCCAAAACAACTTGATATATTGTTGTGAGGTAGATCCACCTAAATAACATTAAAATGCAATTTACCATCCAGAGTTTGTCGGACATGCTCATCCACTAAATCAGGTTAAAGCCACAACCAAACGAGTTGTCTGAATTTGAGCACCATTAACCATCACCTGTCTATATAGCAATTCCCAGATCGCCGCGGAAGCCAGATCTAGAAAACAAAAAAGGCAATCTTCATAATCATCTTACTAAACAAAAAAGCTGGTCCGCTCTGAAGAAAATCCCCATTGAAAGAATAGATAGAGGAAGAAGAGAACAATAGGAGAAGGAAACTGCATCTATTCTCCGTGGAATCTTAGAAAACTAGACAAGAAAGTTTAAGATTCATCCACCGATATTATTGCTTCAGAGTTCTTTCACGATGTCATTCTCAAGTGGTTCTGTAAATCAACTTTTAAGTTGGAAATTCAAATTAAACAAGTCTATCCAATCGTTCAACTAGAAAGGCCCCAACTAACTAAATCCTTTCTCATAACTCAATTGACAACCAGAAAATATTCAATGAGAAACTACAAGAGTCGTGATGGTTACGCCCTGAACTCAATCTCCCCAAGCCCCCCACCCGCCAAAAAAACCCATTGTCTCCTGATGTTCTCTTCTTAACCATTCCTCCCCTACACCCAAAACAAGAGGAATTGTGGCGAGAACAGTGTGTTGTTTTGCGGAAAACGTAAAACGATGGCAATCGTTCCTTAACAAAAAGAAGTTGGTATGCGAAGCACAATAAAATTGCTATACAAAAACATCAAAACACATGGGTCCTGGATACATATAATGCAACGGCGGCAACAACATACCCAGTATAATCCCCCCAAGTGGGGTTTGACGAGGGTAGGATGTATGTAAACCTTAACCAACTTTTGGCCACATACAATGCACGACATAATAATAACAAAACACAAACAACTATATAGATGAAAATTAATATATAGCAATTAATTTAAATAATACAACTTAAAGTAAAACCACATAATCAAGTTCAAAACCCCTTCCTTGAAAAAAACTATTTAGATGCAAAATATGCAATTATAGACATCTAGCTCAGCTTGAGTGACTAGCTTCCTACACGAAGTTTGTCATTTCCTATTCCTAGTCGATTTCAAACTCTTTCATGACGCTTCTTTAATATCACTTTACAGGCTATATACCAAAGCATTTAATTAGCAGGTTTTGGTTAAGACTTGAGACACAGAATCTAGCAACATACACCATCTGCATTGAACCTTACTTCAAACCTCAAGTGCCTCTAACAACATCGAGGAAAGAATAAAAAGTATGACGAGTCTGCAAAAGATATTTAAATCCGTAAGACGTACTAGGCAACAGTAAAACTACTCAGATTTCAGATTCTTCTAGATAAATAGAAGTTGAGGCATAGAACTACAGAAAATGGACGGTACAAATCCATCAAACTCAAGCAAAAAACGAGAGGTAGATCATCTTGTAGTCTCATTCTTAAAGAGGGACAGCTCCTTGTATAAGTTCTCATCCAGTAAGGACTCGGGTTGACTCTGATAACTTGGTGCCAGTAAAACTTCCCACATAACAGACCAGTCTATAAAATATAAGGTTCTCTCATTCGTCATTCTAATAGCACCAAATTTCCAATTCCTCATCTATCAACCGCACGATAAGTGTCGAATTCATATCCCTCTCCAAGTATATATAATTATTTGGTCATTGCTATTCCTACAAACTTCCAGAAATTATGATATCATTCTATAGCTCACAAAAGATAAAGAGAGACACTAGATGTACTTCTCCACACATACTTGTGATACTACCACGAGTCTCTCGACTCTGCATATCACTGAAAATGAAACATCAAAAAAGGAGTGATTGATCAGCTAACCATACATCATCACAGGAAATGTAGAAAACAAGCCACTGTGTAGAAAACTGTGAGTAGTCCTTTCTCCAAAGGAGGTGTCAATTCTTTAACGAGTCAAAACCACGAAGATAAGATGCAAACGATAGATTTTCCCAGTCAACCTGTGCTAGTAGTCCTCATGCAAAATTTCTATTAAGCAAGCATAAAAACACCACCAAGGAGGGGATAATTCTCGATTGAAGGGAAACAAGGATCCTAAGAAGAACACTAGCAACCAGACTGCATCTGGCAGACTTTCAGAAAGAATTCAAATTGGGCATACCCATATGCAATCAAAACACGAAATAGGAATGTTTAAAAACCCATCTTCAAAACATAAATGAGTACATGATAATTTCGGAAGCATAAAAAATAAATAAAAACCTTGATGTGAAACGAAAAAGTACCTTGAAAGAGAGAGCGCAGGGGAAAAAGCCCTTGAGGGTGAGATAGACACAGAGCGACGAGAGTATTTACCCCTAGGAGATACACTGTCAACTGACTGTTAGAAAATACTAAATATTCTGGAGGTGCAAAGATGAAAAGAAGTCTGGAACCAAACCTTCCGCTCTGGCTGCTGTAGCTTCGTCGAGGACTCCTACTTCTTGAGTAACTTCTGCTTCTAGAATTGTATGGACTTGGACTCCTGGAATAGCTATGCCTCTTATCATACTTGTCCACCTAAATAGTAGGTAACTGAGTTAAATTGATGCATGAACACAGCATAGGACCCAGTATTTCTACTAACAACAGAGAACAGACCCTAATATATGCTCGAGAGAATTGATTGCGAAACAGAGAGTCATCAAGTTTCTTTATCTGCAAAAGCAAGAAGAGGATACATGAGACTGACAGAGTATAGAACTTCTTAAACCACAAATTCATTATTATTACAGAGCAGAAAAAACCAGTGATGATGTTAAAGATCAAATAAGCAAAACTAATGCCTTTATATAGCCTACCGCGTATCTCATATCATCATAGTTGGTATAGTCCACAATCCCTCTCATACCTGCAAAAATAGCAGCAGTTAACATCAACTGCTTCCAGTACAATGTTTACACATCCTTACAATTTTGTGCTTTAACTTATACAATGGAAGACAAATGGAAGACAAAAAGAGTGGACATTTTCCTTAAATTGTCAAAAGCCTTGGCATGAAAGCAGTGTACAGAGATCTCGTGCATTACACTGTCTGTATAACTATATTTCCTGAAGAACTGGCCCTATCCCAAGTAAAACTTCTAAGAGCCATGCTTCTCTAGTCTTTCTAAGATAGAAGCAACAGATGATCAAGAAGTAACCTGATTGTCTCAGGTGTCAATTTGTTATGTTCGCCACTCCTTCAGCAAAAATGTCTAAAATACTATGCTCCAATTTTTTTTGTCTTACTTCCTATTTTAGTATATTTTCAAAAAGAACACCATTTACTATATTTAATATTACTCTTAACATCCATCATCCTAGATGACATGTTCAGGACCACAACATTCAAAGAGCATTTTAGTAAATTATGCACATCTTTGGTTTAAGATCACAAAATTTAGAAGTCATATATTTTTTTATATTCCGTGCCAAGTCAAACTAATACAAACAAATTGAAATGGAGAGAGTATAACTTTAAAACAAATGTACATTTCCATCCTTGCGAACATATATGGATGAATCAAACACATCAAGAATTGACGAAATGCCACCACAGAAACTCCTACAGTAAACCTAACTCACCGTCACGATCTCGGAAAACTTGAGAGAAGCAGACATCTCCAGCTCGTCGCATATGATCCTAGCAAAATCAAGTAAGAGAAACCACATTGATCCAAAGCTCTAGCAAGTTCCCAATTTTTTACTGATCATAACATGACAACTGTTATAAATTCTAACCTTCAAGTCTTGCCATGAGGCAGAAGACGGTAGTCCAGAGACCAGTACTGAAAATATTTACATTTTAGCAAGCAAGTGAAACCATATGAAATAAGTTAACTTTCAAGGAGGCGAAAAATCATGAGAACACTATCCAAATCAGGCTAACCGCGATAGTCAGAGCGCCTAGAAAGTCCACTGCGACTCGCACTACTGTAACTACTGTGGCGATCATATGATGATGATCCTCGCCCACCATGTGCAAGTTCAACCTACAAAGATAATTATAAACAACAATATGGTAAAACGATCCGACTTCCCACATCACCACATCACCAAGAGAGGAGGGGAGGGTGTGAGACAACTAACTCGCAAGCGATGCCCGTCAAAGTCATAGCCATCACGCCCACGAATGGCATCATCAGCATCACGAGGATCTTCAAACTGGAAAATACAAAAGGAATGACACCAATTAGATCTATCGGAAATTCTGTAGCATAAAGAAACGCATGCAGAAAATTGAGCTATCTCCCAATACAATAAGGGATTGTTTGGTTTAGAGGCCACTTACGCCAGGATTAGTAATGTAAAGATTAAGAATACAAGGATTGCATAACGCAGATTATTTCTTGTTGGTATTTAGTTTGATCAGGTTACATATTAATAGTATATGTGTATAATTTTAAAACATATGTTTGCTTTTAAAAAAAAAGAACTATTATGAATGATATTCTTGCCATTTTTAAATCCATGTATTACATTACAGATACACATATTTTTATTTCTCATTCTATCCCACATAAAATGATTCCTGCATAACTCATGCATGTATTATTATAACGAAAACAAAAGGGAACAACTAGACAGTGTATTAAGTAATTCTTGCTTTTCTGTGGAGACTAAGATCAAACTCCAATCAAATATTGTGTAAACTAAAGTTGATTTTTATGTGGGGATATATCTCCAAAACCCCTAATAGAATGATTCCCAAGGATAAAACTAACATCTTAGTGATTCAACTCTTAGAAAAGAACTCACCTCTACGAACGCATAACCAGGTGGTCTAGGTGGAACTTTCAAATCAATTTCCACAATGGGACCATACTGCAGAAAATCACCGAGAAAATTCAGAAGGTAAGTGAATACACATCAAAAAAATCCATAACTTATAATATATCTCAAGGAAACCTACCTAGGAATCAACCAAAAGCAATTACATTACTTAACATAATGACAGAAAGACTTGAGCAATAAACTTAAAACATGTCTAATTTATATTGCATTGCGAAGTTGTGTGGCTTCTCTATTAGGAAAAGAACACCAAAAGTACCAAATTAGATGGCTTTCAGGAGCTACTTCGAAAACTGAAAGGCCGAATGAGTACTGTGACAATAATGGAAGCTCACTGAATAGGTCCGAACCATTGAAGAGATTAAACTTAAATGAGGAAAAAACAAGTATTCTCACACTCTAAAAAAGCAAAAGAAGATGATTACGCTTTCATTAGAACGTGATTTGGATAAAAGGAGCAACTTATTTCCCTCTGTGTTAATCAAATTCGTTCATCCTCCGATCCATCCAAAAATACAACTTCTCATGAAACCTATTGTAGCTTTTTTAGGTGGCATGAACACAAAAGGAGCAACAAATTGAAGGTAAATGTATAGATTAGTGATAGCGAGCACATGAAATTGGATACAATGTATTTTTCCAGCAACTAGTAATTTATCTAACTAACCTTGTAAAACAAATCTTCTACTTCTCTCTCCCGAATATCACCAGGAAGATTTCCAACGTAGATAGTCCGACTTAGACGACCCATATTGCCTGAAATCATTACCCAAAAAAATAAGCAGCTTGTTCAAACATTGGAAGTGGTAATGTGGACAATTCTTTTTAATTTATCTAGTAAAGTAAGATTTAAGTGGTAATGTAGACAGTCAAGAATGCAAATAAGAGAAGTTTATTTCCTTTTTCTTTTTTGGTTTGGAGGGAGGAGAGGCTTACCAAAGTTGACTGTAACTCATCCGTGAAAGACTTAAGGAATGGCCAAACTAAGGAAGGATAAAACAAAGAAGAAAAGTAAAGTAACATCGCAACAAAATACAAGAAGATAATCTTAAAACTATAACAGTTCTTGATTTGTAAAAGAAAAGCTTCTAAATAAAGAATAATGTTACAAACACCAAAATCAAAATGAAGTTTTATAGAATATAAGAATCCAAGTAGCAAAAACCATAAATTTATCAATCTAAATCATTTTTCTACATAAAGAATAAGTTACGAACACCAAAATCAAAATAGAATCCGAGTAGCAAAAACCATAAACTTATCAATCTAAATCAATTCTTAAAGATTATGCTCGTCAGCAATAGTAGTCACATCTAACATCAGATATACAAAGAAATAACTTCCGAAGATATTTTCCAACAGGTTCCATCAAAAGGGAGAAATAACTTCCGATCATTTATGACTCAACTCTCAAGTCATTTTTCTTGCACTTACTATCAACATTTATACCTAAAAGTTTCATCAGAACAATACCAAAATTTTTAATATTATGGATAGTTAATATCTAATACTAACTTTTAGGGAAAATAGTCATCACACCAACACATACGTTAGAAAATTATTTTCCATTAAAAAAAAAACGTGCCAAACACTCAAATAACCGCCGATTAATAGTACGGGGAGACGGAAATCAAGAAATTCAACGAAATTCTTTACTGATAGGTAATCCTTTATATATTTAAACTGTTCTTATTATAAGCTCTTGATTATGATCGCATAAAAAACAATAGAAAAACCCTAAAGATTCTTCAAGAACTAGGAAATCAAAAATTATGTGTGACATAGAAAACAGAATTTTGCATAGACAAAACAGAGAAGCAATGAAAAATAATAGCATGTTATTTTGACCTAATAAATTGTATTAGGAGAAGAAAAGGAGAAGCAGCTAACCTAGAAGATATACAACGACGACAGGTTGCGTAGAAAGCAAAAAATGGAAGAAGATTAGAGTTGATAAAATAAATAGAAATAGTTTTATATATAGGAGAAAAAAAGTCGCTATCGAACGTTACGTCTAGAAACTTTCCTAAATCTAAACACGTCGATACATGACATCTGTCCTAGGACACTTTTGAATATTTTAATGATAAAGTAACTCATAAGGAATAAGATAAGTGGGAAATAAAATATACTTTTCCAATGGTGGTTATTTTTTCAAAAACAAAATCCACTGCATATGAGAAATCAAATATGCAAAATACGTGTTTTAGGATTAGATTATAATTATTCTTCTCTCACCTATCTTTCGATTTTATAATAAATATAGGAGAGTAAATTTTTTTTTTCTGAATTAATAGTGTTCAATAATTTGTCAAGAATAGCATAGTAAATTTTCTTGTTGTTTTCAACTATTTGATAATTGATCCTTCTTCATGTGTCTTATCATTGTTATCTTAAGCAAGTCCTTAGAATTAAAGGTTAATATTTAATTAATATAATAGATATCATTAATCTACAAATATAAAATTAATTATTATTTAATGCCATAAGCAAACACCAGCATAGAAATTCTTAGAACCAGAGGCATATTTAGGAGGGGTTAGTGGGTTCACGTGAATTCATGTTCTTTATTCTTAAATCAAATATAGTAGTGTTATATTAGTTAAAAAGTACTTAATTATAGATGTGTAAATCTATATTTGAAACGTCATATAGTGTCGTGTGATGATTAGATGCACGTGAATTTAGAAATTTGAACCTTTTATTTATCTTGTTTTGTTTTTCTTTTTAAAAATTAGGTAAAGTCTCTTATCTAAGTGATTTGGATAGATAAAAAATAATTTTATATTTATATTTTTAAAACTTTAATAATTTTTTAATACTTAAAACATAAATACCAAACTAATCGAACTTTTTATTTTAGATTCACATTTTCTTAATAATACATTCATAATCTAGCTTAGAATATACGCATAATGATTGGTTAAGGGAGAGGATGGTGAACTCTTATAAAAGGATAAAAATATAGCATAAGCAAGTAATGAGAGCACAATATGATCAAACAACTCAATTCAAATGGTTACAAATAGTTTGAATAAAAACTAATAAATCTGACCATACAAGTCATTCATATCAATTTCTCCAATTGCCGCCCACTAATAAGAAACGGTTAGAACAAATGAACAAGAATAATAAAATTACAAGGAATACAAAATAATTTTTGCTTGGTTTAGAGACACGTTAATACGTTTCTTGAAGATAGTTAGAGTCTTTCCCATGAGCAATCGGAATAATAAATAACAACTCTATCTTTGGGATTCAACTAAGCCACAAAACAAGTAGCATTCGAAAATGTTGCTCGTCTACTCTTGAATTGGTGATTTCACCTTTTGATCAATGTCTTACCAGTATTTTCAAAGGAAAGTACTTTTGTTTGAATGCTTATTTTTTTCAACCAAAAGAAACTCAATTTATAGGATAAAGAGTTTTGCAAGAAAAAAAATTTTAATTAATAGAATTCATTAGGTTCATGAATTGGAAACAAAAAATTTATCTTTCAAAAACCCATAATGTAGAATTAAAAAAAACTTGTTGCAAATGTTTATAACAAAGAATTAAATAAATGAATGTTATAACTCACATTCATGTATTTGTTATTTCAAAATGGATGAATTTGTTTCAAAATTAATTAAAACACTAACTCTTACAGAAACCACCAAATAAATTCTTTTTGATAACTTAATTAAAGCATTTACGAAATGTTCTAAGATCGATCAAAAAATTAAAGTTTTTCTAGTCTTCAATATTTTCAGAAAAATGACCGAAATAGGATAAAGATAAATTGGCAAAGTTAAAAACACGTGTGAAATTGTCAGCTACACTACTTTATTTTCAAGCACAAAAAAATTATTATTTATTAAAAAATTAATAAAAATTGTTATTATTGGTTATATTATTATTATTAAATCAAAAACAAGAGGACAAGTGTTTTGTCAAGTCTTTTGGTGGCATATTGAAAAAAGAAAAAAAACTACTACCTTTTTCACATGCTAAAAAGATGCGGATCCCGTTGCTTCTCGTGTTGCAAATTTCACTAATCTTTCTCCTTCCATTTCTCTAACCGCAAAATGCAAATATAAAAAGCAGGATGGCAAAACAATTTCATTATTTCTCTTACAAAAATAAAAAATAAAATTAGATTCTCCATCTTTGTTGTGTTCTAAAGATGGATGCATCTAATCAAAAAACCAGCTTTGAATCTGCTAGGGAATGGATTTCTGACCACAAGCTTCGCACCGTCGGTAATTTTTCATTTCATTTTTTCAGATCTATTTGCTGTTAATTTGAAATTCATATTGATTTGGATGAATTTTCCCCAAGGATCTCTGTGGCTAAGTGGAATAGTGGGATCGGTGGCTTACAATTGGTCAAAACCCAGCATGAAAACCAGTGTCAGGCTCATCCACGCTAGGTACCAATTTCTCATATATTAATTCTCCATTTTCTTATAATTAGATTTATTATTAGGTGTCATGTTTGTTGCCAACTTTAATATTTTTTGTTGATGTGAAATAAGATTGCACGCACAAGCACTTACACTCGCCGCGTTAGCCGGTGCTGCAGCAGTTGAGTATTATGATCACAAAACCAACGACAATGCCCAACGATATCCCAGCTTTGTCAACATGAATTCATTTGCACAGAAGAAATGAAGCAACGAATTTTGTAAATTTTTATGTCAAAATTATTTGTGGTAACACCAGCCAGCCCTATGCTAGGTTCCTGACATGTTTTTTGTAATCGATGTTTTGAATAACAAAATACGAAAACATAGAGAATTTTTCCTATCAACTAGTAGTTTTTGTTTAATTTTCATTTATCTTTCTGATTCATTGAATGAATGGACAGGATTATTGCTGGTTGAAATAGAAAATTTTAAGGTCCTACAAAATTGTATAGTCATACTTTCCTTTTGATTCAATTCTAATTTGGCTGGTAAAAGAAAGTTAGAAAACACTTGACAAAAGTTTAGGAAAGCAAAAGAGCAATATGAGGAACCTTGAGTTTGATCGACTATATGCACTTCCACTTTACTAACGATTTGATTTCTCATATTCGTAATCCTCTTATTTTTTTTAAAAAAGAGTATATGCATTAGTAAGTGTGAGTTTACTGTAATAACAATATATCTAGAATAAAACTAATACAATTATGTGAGTGTTGGAGTCAAAAGAGCAAATAAAATTATCAAAAAATTCAAAAGGACACATCAAAGTCAAAATCGCTCCTGATGAAGCAATTTTTCTCTGACACAAAATTGACATTGTTACTCCATTTAAAAAAAGTTACTGTCAAGATAGCGATTTTGTTCATTTAACTAAAATCGTTGGCGCAACAACAATTATTTAAGTTCAATTTTTTTTCTCCAACTAAAATCGCTACTTTAGCCATCTTTTTTTAAATCGCTGTCTTGGCTGTCCTTTTGAAATTTTTATAAATCTTTTTACCTTTTTGACTTCAAACTTCAATTTATGTTTGTACGGTACAATTGTCGATTAATAACAATTTTAGCAAAAAATAAACCCTTCAATATTATTAAAAATAGATATATATGTATATGAAACATAAATTGATTTATAATAAAATAATTTCCCAGAAATGAAATTACTCTTATAGTATATTATATGGAATTGTAATTAAATTTTGTCGATCCTTTAGTTATACATTTGGGAAGAAAATCAATAAAGAAAACATTGAAGCGTAAAATGACTTTCGTCTAGTTGAAAACAACAACAATGATAACCTATACCTATTTGATTGGTGAAGTTCATTAATAACAAATTAAGTCCTTGATTGTTACATATAATTATTGGGAAAGACTCTATATATCTATAATACATAATAATAAAACGAAGGGGTCGAATTTATTTATTTTATATAAAAAATTAAAGTTCTTTTCAGTGTATTGTGATGTAGAAGGACCTGTATTAATTTGTAATATGATTGCTCCAATCTCACAACTTGTGTATGACCTATTAGTGAAATTCATGATAAGCAACAATGTTTCAAGGGTATAGTGTAACAGTTATGATACTTAAGCAACAAGATTTTTTTGGTTAATATAGATTGAAAATCTCTAATTATTTTACAAGAATTTTAAAATAATGATAAAGTTATTTTTATATGATCTATATGTCATGAATTTGAGTTGTGAATACAGTGACATTGTTTAGAGTAAATTGTCTATATTTACACCCTTAAGGATCCGAATTGCGATTCTTTTTCAAACTCCGCTATCTCCATGTGTTCTACGCACGAGACTTCTCCTTTATATTTGAATATGTTTATTAGTTTAATATATAAAATAATTATAAAATGACCAATTTATTCTTTCTATATCACTCTTCTGTTATCCCCAATTTACCCTTCTAGATTCTTACTAATAATAATGGGCCTAGGTGAGTGGACTCACAACATTAGCCCAAAATGCTGATGGACCGCAACGACGATCCACAATAGAAACATAAATCACACCCAGTAATATATAAACCCCACGCTCAGAAACCCTAACCATTTCTCTTCTCATTGTTCTTCCCAATCGCCGCAGCTTTTCAGGTAAGTTATCTGATCCCCTCTTCGTTCCACAATTTGATTTTTTGATGTGTGATAGTTATATGTTTTTCGTGGAAATGCAGGTAGGGTTTTTCCTGTCAATCGTCGGAGAAGATGAGTAAAGGAAGCAGCGGAGCCACCAAGGGTGGGAAGAAGAAGGGAGCCACCTTCGTGATCGATTGCGCAAAGCCTGTTGAGGACAACATCATGGAAATCGCCTCTTTGGAGAAGTTTCTTCAGGAGCGCATCAAGGTTGGAGGAAAGGCTGGAGCTCTTGGTGACTCCGTGACTGTAACACGTGACAAAACCAAAATCACCGTCACCTCCGATAGCACCTTCTCCAAGAGGTAAGGCTTCACCTTTGTTGTTGACCCATGCTTCTATCCTTTATATGTTTATGGAGATACCCAACTGTTACTTTTTTTGAATGCTGTGGCGAGTACAAGTTCTAAATTATTATAAGTTGGTCATGCTTTTTGATTATTTATTAAGATTTATGGATAGTCTCAATGTACTAATTTGAATGTCCAATCCATTGTTAATTCTCTATATATGGTATGCCCGATGAAGAACTAATAATGTTTTGATGATAATTAGTCTTTAGATGTATATTTCTATCCATATATTTGGAGTTGTAGACATATGGAAAATGTGAATAGAAATTATGTGGAGTTCGTAGAAAGAAAAATTTAATATATAAAACAATAAATTCGCCCGCTGAGGACGGTTAAATTACCTGTCTTGGATAATTGTATGTATTACCCAAAACAGAATAAAGTTGGATAAATGAACTTCAAAGGGTGACTGGTTGATGAATTTAATATATAAAACAATAAATTCGCCCGCGGAGAACGGTTAAATTACCTGTCTTGGATAATTGTATGTATTACCCAAATCAGAGTAAAGTTGGATAAATGAACTTCAAAGGGTGACTGGTGGATGATGTAGTATTGTATCAAATCCATTGGATAACATAGTGTTCGTTGGCATAATGGTGAGTTGATGCTGAAGTTTGAAGCTGATCTTGTGCCTGGGTTCTGTAACTTCCATATGCAGCGGCAGATAACAATTTATTGTGTAGTGCAGTTTAGAATAATTCAACAAAAGTTTATTTTTCATTTGAGTGGGATCATGTTCTGTGGTCTCCTTATTTATTTGTCTTTAACAAAAAACAAAGTTGGAGGTGATGTTATTTTGGCAACAGTAAGGTCCAGAGCAACATCTTTGTTGGATTCATTTGTCAAAAGCTTGCTTGGCAATTCAATTTATGGTCCTATTATACTGTAGCTTAATCTTATAAAATGTTTTTTCATCCATTGTGTTCTATTTGGTAATGTTTGCTTTTTTGACCAGGTATTTGAAATACTTGACTAAGAAGTATTTAAAGAAGAACAGTGTCCGTGATTGGCTCCGAGTAATTTCCTCAAACAAGGACCGTAATGTTTATGAGTTGAGGTACTTCAACATTGCTGACAATGAGGCTGAGGAGGAAGACTGAGAAGCTTGAATTGGTCAGCTTGATAGAAAGTGTCCTTTGTTGAACTTTAGTTTTGTAGCTCTTCATTATCTGGATTTTTTTTGCCTTGTGAGACAGTATTTACAATTTTGTCAACGAAGTTATAACTATGCTCTTTGCCTCAATATGGAGAATGTGATTAGCTAGCTATCTTGTAGTTGGTTTATTTCTCCTGCAATGCAATCAATCTTCTTAGATTTGTTTTCTAAACGTTTGCTATTTAGAGGTTGCTTCTGATCAAGTATACTTGCTGGTTTCTTTTGCGCTGCATTTGCGAGAATATGATTTACATCATCACTACTTGGCTTTTGTTGGTGGAAAAAGTTGCTAAGTTGCTGTTTGACGTTCCCAAATTGTTGTTGGTGAGGTACTCATTATGATGCTTAAGTAACTTAGTTGTCTGCGGTGTTGTGATTTCTTGTTTGTTTACATACGAAGATGAATTCATTATTGTATTAATTGAAGTAGAACAAAAGCTTTGGAAGCTAGGAATTCAAGTATTATTGGTTAAAACTGAAACAAAACTAGAATAATATCAGGAAGTGTTGATATCTTGCGATATCTTTTATTGCTACTTTTCCTCGAAAACAAGTTCATTCCCTGTGGATGCACTTGTTATTATTTTTATCTGTTTTTAGAACTTGTAACAGATCGTGCCAAAACCACATGCATACAGTGGAGACTCCATAATTTGTAGCGTTGGCAATTACCGTAGATTGTCTTGTCGCTTGTTGTAATTTAGGATTCTTGCAATTGCAAGAGAGCACCCTGATAGTTCTCCACTTGTCCTTTTAGAAGAGTATTTTAGACATTTTCAATTTCGATGTGAATTATTAGTTTCATTCTTGAGTTGTTAATATCTTTAAAAATATTCCTTTACTAGACTATCTGAATTTAAAAACACTTCCGATCTTGTAACACGAGTTAAATATACTTTTGAACCATGTCAATACTTTTTTTTGACAATTTATTAAAAACTTTATGCTCCTACGTAAGTTTGATATCAGTTGTAATGTCTTGTGGCAAGACGAACAAGCCAAGAAACACGTGCTTTTGTATATGAAAGGATTAGCTGATGCCTGATATGTTCATAAAAACCCGATCTTAGAAGCAAAAACAATAGTAACACGCTTCAATCTATGACATGGATTGAAGACTCGAAGGTATCAAATGAGTGGGTTGGTTGGGTTGGGTTGATGTATGAGTTATTTAAAGGAAAAATTATTTGGTTAATTAAATTTTTACAATATACATTATTATGTGCGTTGACTTTAAGTTTGTATATTTAGGCCTTATTTGTTGCACTTTATAAAAGTTTGAATCTGAATCGTTCAGATTTAGTCCATTAAGTACGTTTGGTTTTAGGGCTGAATCTGAATCATTCAGATTCAGCCAATTAAGTTTATTTGTTTTATTTTTTAAAAAGTCTCTTAATAGGTCTGAATGAATAAGATATGTAGGAGACTATGAACAACATTCAGACTCATTTAATAAGTTATCAAATAATAAATTATCGCTTCGCTGCTTTAAGCGTGCTCTTTTATCTCATAACTAAAAACTCTCTTTCTCCTCAATCACACACCATTTTTTTCCTCTTGAACTGGTAAGTTTTCATAAATCATTTCAAGTTTTTATTTTTATTAATAATTTTCTTGTATTGACTGTGTTAATAACACTGTTGGTGTATTTTCGTTTATCAAGGTTTTTGAATGAAAAAAATTGTACTTCCAAATCATGATTATTAAAACTTTTAAAACCTTTTTTTTTTAAATCAAAAACGGTATATTTTATTGAAATGAAATTGTATTGCTATTTCATTAATTTAATGTTAATTTCACTGCACATTCTAATATTGAAACAAACAGTGTTAATTATTTAGTCTTCATATTTAGAGACCACATCTTAATATTCAGATGTGTATTCAAGATTAGAACACCTGAATCTTAATGCGAATCTTAATATTCAGATGTGTATTCAGATTCAAACTGTTACTCTTAATGTAAACAAATGAGGTCTTAGTCACATTTGTAATTGTATAATTTGTCACATTTTATAATTCGCAGCTTAATAATTCTCTGTTTGATTTGTATTTGTATATGATTGTTTGACGATGATTTTATTTGGTTTTTCAGAGTTGTCATTATAAACATCAATCTTTTTCAGTTTTTGAATTTGTTTAATATAATATATAATGGTATTCGTATTATATATTTCGTATAATTGTTTAAACTTCATTTGTTTATATTTGTATCAATCCATTATTTCGAATTTTATTATATTTGTATAACTTCAGACTTTATTTCATCCAATTATACAAAAACACATGAATTATACAAATGTACTTGCAAATTATACAAACGATACACGGATTATACAAATTATTGTCCTCTCTCGCTCGCCTCTCTCCTCCCTTTCTCAATCTCTCGCCAGAAAAATACATATGTATAATATACAATAAACCAATATACATATATAATTCAGCTCTCTCCCACTCTCTGTCATCTCTTGCTCGCCTCTCTCCTCCTTCTCCCAGTCTCGCTCGCTATCCTCCTTTCTGACAACACGTAGCTTTTCAAATTGTAATTAGCAAACTATAATTATGTAGTGTAATTAGGCTATTTTTGAGTAGCTATATGCGAAAATTCCTCTTATTAGAATAGATCGAAATAGAAATCAGGCCGAGTTAGTACCTGTTCAAATTTATTTCGACTAAAAATTAAGTTGGGTCATGAACTTTTTTGACCAGCTTAATCTCAATAATTTTAACATATTTGAAATTTTCTTTTTTAACAAAAAATTGAATTTAAACTCAAGAAAATAATAAACAAAAAAAGTTACAAATGAATTGAATCCTAGAAAATATATGATACATATTAATTGAACATTCTATATGAAACACACATTATATCAATGCAAATAGAAAGTATTAAAACGGGTTAAGTTGGTGATTAAATTTTGCTCAATTGAAAAGTTATTTTAAAATGTTGAAGGTTGAAATTGACTGGATTCGAAATATTTTGAAAGCTGAAACCATAAAATTCTAGACTGACTGGTATGATTACTTATATTTGGGCTCATCTCGACACCCCAAATTGCAAAGTGCTAGTAATGTTTCAATTAGCTGGCTGAGCAGAGTTGGTAAAGATTCCTTCATCAGTTTCTATTGCTTTGAATGTGAGAAGTAGGAGTTTCACTATCAAACAGAAGTGCAACTACCATATATACATTTTATGATGTCGTCTGCGCGTAATATGTAATAAATAAAAATTTAATGTAGGTAAAACTTATCTACTTACATTTGTAGGTTTTCATCACAGCTACAACAAGTAAACTAATTTACCATCAAAAGAAACAATTTTTCAATTTTAATGTCATTCTCAGCTCTATCGGTGATTTGAGTTTTTGATTTCAGGCCCTTTTATCACTTTATGATTAGAGCGTCAATTTACCACTAAAATTTTAAATATGTTCAATTATACGAATGTATTAAAAAAAATTGTTTTTGGCATGACAAGGCAGTTTAAATTCCAAATTGCTCAGAGAGTAATATAAGTAAGTAAATTTGGATATAGGATTAAAATTTTGAGGTGAATCAGTAAAAAGAGTAAAAGCGCCTTAAGTGAAGTCAAGACAATAAAAGGAAGAAACAGAAGCATTGCTGGTTTCGTCTGCTCTGCTGTACTATTTAATCTAATGTAAGCAAACATTTAAGTGTTTGCTTGCTTTTTATATATACATGTTGTCATTGACTTGCTAACTTGGTTATTCCGTGCTCTTTATCTCACTCACAACCGGGATCTAGGCTGATGCTCGGTTTAACTGAGCACGTTTCTTTTAGATCAATTTATGTATATATATACGTAAGAATTTAAAAAATGTAGTTATCTTTACATATAATAAGATCAAACTCATTACGAATATGTTCGACGTAGAACTCAAATTCACCTGTCTCATATTGCTATTTTCTTAGATATGCAATTGGGTCAACAATTTTGACGTCTAGCTCTAATCGTAAGTAGTAAGCATTTTTCTTAATTATATGTAACCTCACTCCTCCCTTATGAAAAATGAAATGATTAAATAATGGTAAATTTTTCTAAAGATCTACGAGACGAAATGTATGTATCTATCATCTCAAATTTATATTGAGTTAAATAAAACCAGATAGAAGAATTTGAGCAGTAGTGCGGAGTTAAAAGGTACAAAAATTCTAAAAGGGTATATCAATTTTTTTTAAAGTTAAAATGGTAAAATCGCTCATGATGTAACGACTTTGGCCGTCTGAAAAAATAAAATCACTGCAATAACAGCGATATCTTAAATTTGTTTTTTTAAAAAAAAATAAAATAAAAATTAAACAAATCGCTCCACACGGAACGATTTTCAAAATTTAAAAAAAATAATGTTTTTTATAGGCCGCTGCTACTGCAGCGACTTCCATTAAACTTTTTAATTTTTAATTTTAATTTTTGCTTTATTTAAAAAAAATTGATTCAATTTCTTTTTTAAAATCATTGGCAGCGATTTTTAATTAATTTTTTTAAAAAAAATCAAATCGCTGTAAAGGCAGCGATTTACACTTAATTTATATCTTTTTTTTTGAAAATTTAATTAAATCGCTGCAAAAAAATTTAGCCGATTAAATTAAGTTTCAAGAAAAAATTTAAACAAGTCGCTCCAAGTGGAGCGATTTTCAAAATTAAAAAAGATTTGATTTTTAAAAAAAATAAATTAAAAATCGCTGCCAATGATTTTCTTAAGATTTCGCTACTATTGCAGCGATTTTGCTTTTTCAGAAAGCCAAAGTCGCTACATCGTAAGCGATTTTACCGTTTTATTTTTTAAAAAAAATTGATATAACTTTTTGAAATTTTTGATAATTTTTTTTACCCTTTTAACTCCGCACTCGAATTTTAGGTCTTAGAATAGTGATATTAATATTAGTAAATTGGTTCTGAATTCAATTTATAAACATTTGATGATTTTTTCTATGCAAAAATAAAATTTGAATTAAAATTATTATGTTCGATTAACTTTATATCTTTATCCAATTAAAAAAGAACAAATACTTTGAGCTATCAATATAATCCTCATCGTTGAGATGTTCAAACAAACGTTAATGATGAAATAAGACATCATCAATATGGAGAAGAAAATAAAATCGTTCAATACAAAAGTTTCTTATCTTATATTATATTAGAAATATTTAATTTAATAATCAACTACTCAATGGTAGAGTGACAAATGAGTAATTTGAATTGTTTTGGCTCGTACTAAAACAGGCTAAATGAATAAATGATTCATTATCCAACCTTAATGTCCAAAAATTAATTAGATGGGGTCGGTCCCAAAAAAAAATCATCAGAACAATTCTTATAAAATTTTTAGGGAAAATTACTCGTATTATCAAACATTTATTAGTTAATTAGTTAATATAGTTATAGTTTATCTTAAATACAATTTATGATTTACTTTTAGTTATAATTATGCAGCTTAATTTTTTAATTTTGTATAATTGTACATTTATATAATTCAGAATTTATATAAAACAATTTATATAATATGTGTATAATTCGAAATTTGTATAATATAATTTGTATAACTTTTGTGTAATTCAAAATTTGTATAATATAATTTATATTAGTGTTTACACTTCTGATGTTTTTTATTGTATAAGTTCGTTATTTTGAATTCATACAAAAATAACTGAATTATACAAATGAACTCGCGAATTATACAATCTACAAATTATACAAACGAGACAACATAAACTATTGCTACAATCTGTAAATATGCAAACTATAGCTATGAAGCACAATTAAAAGTATTATAATGTCTATTTGCGAAAGCTTTCTAAAATTTTATTTATTTTCTTATAATTTTGTTAAATTATCAGATAAAATTAATTTGGAATCATCAAAATGTGCTAACTAGTACTTATATCCATCGAGATTTGTCCAAAATCAAAAGCATTGCGCTTCACAAATTTTGAATATATACTTGTTAGTGACCTATATTACGTGAACCTTTTTTTTAGTTCTTTCAAAAAATATATGTTTTAAGATACTTATATTATCTTTAATTAGATAATTATAAACACTCAAAAATCCTTAAATTTATTTTAGATTTTAAGTTTTATTATTATTTTTAAAAAAAGATTTATGTCCGATTAAAATATATCGAAAGAGTACTATTTTATTTAACGTGAGAGAGAAGTATATAGTATGATTGATGAGAAATAAAATTTTTAAGTGGAGAAGAGAAAAGACATAAATTACCCCTCAGAATTCATGGGGGAAAATTGGTACGAGTTAGAGGTGGTATACTGGAAGAAGCAAAACCTTTCCTTTGCTAAACTTAGAGAATCATATCTATCTTGGGACTCCCCCTGCCTTCCTAAAAAACATACTCATAAATTATGAACTATGCCAAAACAAAAAAATAAAATAAAATTGAGATCTAATTTTTATATATAGCAAATATAAAAATTATATTTATGCATTATAGTTATAGTTTATAAAATTATGCTTCCTAGTAAATTTTAAGTCTGCTATTAAATTTTTGATTTACATAATTCGTTAGGTGTATCTAATTTTATACAAGTTTTTCAATTTTGTATAAATTCATTTATACATTGTAATTTATATAATTAGATTTATATTTGTATATACACTTTTCTCTCGCTTTATACAAACACATTTTATATATTTGTATATCGAAAATGGTCAATTATATATCGAACCAGATGACAAAAAAAAATATTGCTGCAAATTGCAAATAAAATAAACTATGGCTATATTATTTTATTTAAATTAATAGTTTTCTGTTTCATACTTTTTTTCTAAAATTATATTACAGTTTGCACTATTTAAAAACATGTTTTTTACTTATCTATTGAAATATTATAAAATAAAATAAAAACATTTTCATTTGTTCTTAGAAACTATATATGAAAAGACAATTTGTAATATACTCATCCATTTTAATTATTCTTAATTTTAACTTTTTACATAGAGTATGTAAGACATTAAAGATTGATAATCATTTTACCTATTTTTTAATTTAAAATTATATAATAACTTTTTTTATTTTATGAAATTTTGTATCAAATTAAAATAAAACGGTGAAATTAAAATGGCGGAAGTAATTAATAGTGAGGTGAATAACTCGCGCAGAACACGCAACCCCTCTACGTGCATTTTCTTACCTTGCTCAGGTAAGACTTGTATTCCTGCTACTCAAATCCCTTTTTCTCTTTCTTGCAAAAATCAACCAAGTCTTTTACTTTTTCTAACCATCTAAATCTTGTCAATCAAATTGTACACTTATTTTGTGAAAATATGATTTGTTTAAGTTTAAATTATGAAATTCATTTAATAGTGAAAGAATTAAGGGTTTGTTGAAAATAATTTTCTATTTTCATGAAGATAGAGATAAGGTTGTCTGCGTCAAGTTTTCTATAATCACAAAATGAGTATAGATTATAATTTTATTTATCAAGATTGTGAATATAAATTTGTGTATGCTTTTGATTATTCTTTTTCATTTATTTTTTTGTGATTTGAGTAGTGATAATAGCGTAATTATCGAATTAAGTTTTGAAACACATAGGGCATAAGTTATGATTTATCGTTGAGTATCATATAAGATCCTTAATTTAAATGAATTCATCTGGTAGAGTGCAAGATTTTTATATCTATAAAAAAAAACTTACATATATCTTACCTTAGCTCATATTGTAGCCATACAAAATATGTTGTTATTGTTACTGTTGCTAACTTGCTATATAGTCTAATTTTACTTAGATTTGTTATAAAAAGAATTTTATATATTAATTTAATCGGTTTAATTTCAATTCAATTGGCTCATATAACCCACCTAATCTTCTGGTGTAGGTTGATTGGTGGAGTGGTGTGTGGCGTCATCATTCATCACTTACTTTCCCAATTGGTCAACATTAATAATAATTAAAAGTCATAAATAATTGTTGGACGACACGGGTGTAGTTCTGAATATGGTCAGTCATGGCAATAAAATATTTATTATAGTTTGGTAGAGTGCAGGCTTAGCTGCAGCAGGAACATTCAGTATTCCTCTAGCCTTCAATATCCCTTTGCTTATGCATATTATTTCCTTCTTTTCTAAATCTTCCTTTCCCTTTGCTATTTTTAGTACCATTTGGATCAATCCTACACTGAAATCAATTAAACCCTGTATACATAATTATGAAAGAAAGACTTTACGATCTAAAACAAGTCACAAATATTTACGTGGATGAGCGTTCTTTCATTAGGCGTAGAATGAGAAAAGTGGGAGACAATTGTTATAATCAAATTTCAAATGTCAATTGAATAAGAAGGAAACTAAAAAAGAAGTTCACTAGGGTTGAATTGAGGGTAAAATGGAGGTGTCAAGTAAGAGGTCAAATCTAATAATATTTCGTGCTTTGCTAGGTTTGAAATGCAAGCCATACACTTTGGACATGTAAACGTACGCAACACGTCCACACAAACAAGGCTGCAATCAAAAGAGATTGATGTTTGGGCATTTCATTGCAAAAAAAAAAATAATAATCATCTATAGTACTTGTGAATTTTTTTTCCCTCTGTTTTCAAATCTCTTTTATCCCATCAATTCTTTTTTTTTGGGCTAGTAAATTGTAGTAGAGTATATAGTATTGTGTGGTAAATGTTATAAAGAGTGGGGGGTGGGATGGGATGGGATGGGATGGTGTTTTTAATTTTTTGCAAAGTGATGGATAGACTTTTTACTCCACAGCATCAATTGGTATTGAAAAATCAAAATCAATGAGCCAAAAAGACAATTGTGATAGCCCCTTTTCACTTGTTTACTTGATTGCTTCACCTATGGGGTCTTTAAAGATTTGCCCACTCCAAGACTCCAAGCTTTAACTCTTCTTGTCCCTCTTTACTTTAATTCTATCCATCTTTTTATTTATTCACCACCCCCACCCCTACCCACATCCCCACCCCTACCACATCCTCACATCTTTTTCCAGCTATAAATACTTGAGCTACCCCAATCTTCTTATTTGTCACCTCAAGTTCAAAAATGAACAATTCACTCACACAATGCAAGAAAATACCTTTTTTCTTTTTTTAAAGTTGTAGTTAACTTTAATGGAAATGTTGGCAATAATGGGTGGGTAACTCATGTTGGAGAAGCAGGGCACGTGCAAATTCTTGTATTCGACAATATATGCATTACTAATGGTAATGCATGAATTTTGCACGTGTTCTCCTTCTCCAACCCGAATTTCCTACCTCCTCTCTTCTCAAGATTCTTCAAAATTCAAACCACTTTTGACCTAATGTGCCTTGAGACGTAATTGTTGTACATTACTTTTTTAAAGTATACGCTATAATACCAAGGAAACATTAACGACTAAACTAATGGCATGCATGACTATGCCCTTGACTAAAGAGTAGTGCAAATTATTTTCACTATATTATTTACAACTCTCTTTTTTGCAGGGTGTCTATAGAGAATTGACAGTTGAGTTTTCTATTTATATAACATAAATTTTAATGTTTTTGTCATGCTGTTGTTTTTAGGTGGCAATGAAGGGAGATGGACCAAACATGGAGCTAGTGGTCCAATGCTGTCTAGGCTATAGCTTACCTACCCACAGAGTTCTGCTTCAACTTAATATGGCATTTGACATCTTGTACTTAAATTGTGTAATAAAAAAAAATTACATCTTGTACTTATAGTATAAGAAAAAAAAAATTACTTTTACTCTCTAATCTAATTTTATATATATTTTTTCTTAGTTGGAATTTCGAACTTCAGCTCGTTAAAATATATTAGCCACTTCTTTAAACTTCAAGAAAGAAATGGAAAAAAATCAATTAAGGCCTATACTTCCCGATAAAGTTTGATCGTAAATTTTGAAAACGTACATTTATATGTTTGAAAAATAGCTTTTTTGAAACTTTTCACATATAAAAATTTAACTTTTTTCGACTTGAGATGCATGTCAAATTAATCGTCAAATATTTGAGTTCAAAATATTTGTAGCTAGGAAAAAACATTGAAGATAAAGATTGTGGGTGGTCCTAAAAGTATAGAGTATCTTTTGTTAGATTTTGTTAGAGAATTGATGTACGCTGCTTGTTACACTCAAAGGTGGTCCATGAAGATCTAAAGCAGCTTCGTACGTACCTTAGCCAACATAAAACAAAGTTTCCTGCTAACCTGACGTTCATATGCCAGTTTTTACCATATACTAACACATTTCGCAAATGTCATTAGGAACTACTCTATGTTTTTATAAAATATAAGAAAAAACAGCTCAATTTACTTTTGACACATGCAAGTTCTTTTTTTTTTAAGTAAATTTTTTATAAAAAAAAATTAGATTGACTTCACTTATATTTAATAAATAATTTTATTTTATCTTTTATTCTATTTTTTCCCAATATGTCTCGATCACTATAACAAAAATAATTTTTAACAGCAATAAAAATTGACATGAATTCTTTGAGTGTCATTAGAAATAATATCACTAGACTTTAGGAATATATATAAAAAGTATTAATTGTCGCTAAAAGTATATATTCAATTGTAATTAAAAATTAATTACCATTAATAATAATTTATTATATCAAATTCTCAATATTATTTATTCAAAACTTTATATTCACAATATCTCAATATTTTTTAACTATAAGTATTAGTTGTACCGTGACAGCTAACACGCTAACAATTCTATAGAATTGAAACTGATCAGATGTAATTTAATAAATTAAAATTATTCAATCAATTGTATGAAACTTTTAACGAATCTTCCTTTTTCGACTGGTAAGTTTTAAAACCACTTCATATAAATCATACATACATTATATTTATTAAATAATTAGAAATATTCAACAAAAAGAATATTACTTTTAAGTTTTTATCTGATAAGTTACTTTAAAAAAGTCAATTCAAACATCAGAAGACATCGTACTTGATGTATATGATAAATAGGTAACCTAATTAAGTTCGCAATTATATATTAATAGATATATATTTCTTACATGTACTTATAGTTTAAACTTTTATACATCAATTTTTTTCACCAAATTATGATTAGAGAATATATATATATTTACTAGGTACAGAGGAAATTCCCTCATTTCCATAAACCAATTTGAAGATTGCTAATATGGATTTTTAGCAAGTATGCAAAGTTGTTATTTATAGAGACCCAAGAGGTGTTACTAAAAAAGGAAAAAAAATCCAGGATCTTTATTGCATTGATAGGTTTGTTTTGGGGCAAATATGTTTTTTTTTTTTTTGGTGAGTTTGTGAAAGCCTTATAGAGTAATTTTTATGTTAGAAAATATAATTAATCGAAGTATATTTTCTAACAGAGCGGTATTGGCGATAGGTATTTTATGAGGGGCATAACATTAGCAGAACACGCGGTGGACGGTGAGTATGAATTGTCTATGAGCATAATATATATGATTTTATTTATACTATTTTTAATATTCTCTCCGATTCATATTAAGTGAATTGTTGAAGCATAACATATTTCTTAAATGGAAACATATTAAAGCCTCTTTTTTTTTTTTGAATATTTTGATTATTTCTAAATTAATTTTGTTGTAAAAGTGAAATAGGTGAAAACTTAATTAAATGGAAGGATAAATACAGGGAAAAGTTGAACTTTGAACGTACAATTTTTTTAAATTATGAATTATTAAAATTGTTTCAATAATTCACTTAATATGAATTAGAAAGAATATCATTATATGAGTCACTTTTATAACGAGCGAGTTATCAGCTCTAAATAATAAAATTGAAAGGTATATCAGACCCTTTTTCCTACTTTATATGATTATTCAATAATATACATTTATAACATATCAATAGATGTCAAGTAATATAAAACGATCTGAGTTCATATAATATATGTATACTTTCCTTGGGCTTGCGTAAGCACCTATAGATATAATCACATCACACCAGGAGTCAATAGTCATCATTTTATGAGTTGATTTGGCAGTCAAAATAAAAGTGGAGGGGTTATAATTTGCCTAAGAAAGTGGGGGATTTTCTTGTAGCAGTTGAGACTGGAGAAGGTTTCTTTGCTATAGGGCCATTACTTATTGGAAATTGAAATGAAGTTAATTTAAATAATTTTGCAGAAAGAGTTAAGAAGAGTAGAATTAATAAATAAAAAAGAAAATGGAAAGAAACAATAGCGTAAAAAAGTGAAACAACAGGGGACAAGTACTAAAGGAGTAGTTGCAGAAATGGGAATCAATGTAGTTACTACTCAATACTCGCTACTTCATGTTTGAACACGCAATGCACGCACCTCGAGGCCTTCACAATATATTTCTCCGTCTTATATTACTTGATTCTCCATAATCTCAATAAAAATCTCTTGATTAATTTGTTAAAATGAAACGGAGGGTGAATAACACACGAGTACTTTCTGTGTTCCATTTTAAATTGAAAGTTACGAACTTTTCACTATTACTTTTGTGATTATTCACAAAATATTTTCTTAGAACGTTAAAAATAGTTAAGATCTTTTTCATATATGAAACGGAAAAGAGTAAAAAAAAACTCTTAAACCATCTAAAATAGCTCATATATACCCTTAAACAATATTTAGGCTCAAAATTATTCTTCCCGTCAAACTATTGAATTAAAAAATGTCCTTCTAATTAACGAAAATTGTTAAATATCATGTGTATGCCACATGGCATCCCAATAAATTTCCACGGGATACATAGACTAAAAGGAAAAGGGTCAAAAGTACCCTTAAACTATCCGAAATAGCTCATATTTACCCTTAAACTATATTTCGGCTCAAAACTATCCTTTCCGTCAAACTATTGGGTCAAAAATGACCTTCTTATTAGCGAAAGTTGTTAAATTCCACATATGCCACATTGACTAAATCCCTAAATCTTAATTACTTATTTTTCCCACATTTCATTATTTTCCAGAAACGATTTCACTCCTTCTTCCTCATTTTGCAGCTAAGGTTTCATAGTTTTCTTCGTCGCTGGGTTTCAAAGTAGATATTCATGGTTATAGTAAACTTTTTTCTGATTTTATTATGTTAACAACCACGAAAATTCACTTTGAAACTCATCATCAAAGAAAGTTATGAAACCTTGGCCGCAAAATGACGTAAAAGTTGTGAAATTCTATCTACCATGCTTTGAAATCGTAACTGTAATACAATAAGAAAAAATATTTACTAACCTACAACCATGAATATCCACTTTGAAACTCAGCCTCGAAGAAAGCTACGAAGCCTTAGCTGCGAAATTAGGGGAACGTTGTGAAATCCTAACTATCATGCTTTAAAATCGTAAACATAATAAAATAAGAAAAACTATTTATTAACCTACAAGTATAATATCCACTTTGAAACTCAACTACGAAGAAAAGTATTAACCCTAGCCGCGAAATGATGGAGAACGAGTGAATATATCATTTCTGAAATAATGAAGTGAGGGGAGAAGTAATTACGATTTAGGGATTTAGTCTATGTGGCAATAGAACCTTATTGACATACAATGTGGCATCCACATGGCATTTAACAACTTCTGTTAATAAGAAGAGTACTTTTGATCCAATAATTTGACGGAAAGGTTAGTTTTGAGCCGAAATATAGTTTAAGAGTATATATAAGCTATTTTGGATAGTTTAAGGGTATTTTTGACCTTTTGTATTTAGTCTACGTGGCAGTGAAATCCTATTGGCATGCAATGTGGCATACATATGGTATCCATGTGACATTTAACAAATTCTGTTAATAAGAATGATATTTTTGACCCAATAGTATGACGGAAAGGTTAGTATTGAACCAAAATAAAGTTTAAAGATATAATAGAAGTATTTTTGAGCCTTTTCTGTAGGTGAAATCATACACCTATTTTAAACTATTAACTTTTTTTTTTTGAGAATTCTCTCTGTGAACCTAAGGGAGTAGCATTAGTTTTTTCCTAGGCTTTGTTCATGAATCATGATTATCAACAATTATAGTATAGCATGTGCATTCAACACACATACGTGCCTTTCCCTTTAATCATGTTCGTGCCAGTCTCATTAATTTCTCTTATGGAAAAAAAAATGGAGTTCTGTTATTAAGTTGACTTAGTAAACAGAGACCGATTTTATAATATGATAATTGAGTTCATAATTATATATTTATGAATATATTAATAAATTTATAAGTAAGGTTTCTAACAAATATTATTGGGTTTCTGTAAATCTATGCAAACTTAATAAGCTAGC